CCTGAATAAAACAGCGATTGAAAGCTATCCTGTTATTTGTGCCTCTTTCATACGGAACGGTGAAGAACATGGCCTCCATGCACCTGTGCAGTTGTTTGTCTACAGGTGGTTCGTACGGATGCGCTGCAGGAGAATTCTCAGGTCTGCATGTGCAGGTTCCTCGGGTGACGAGTGCTGTTCTAAACTGCACTGCCTGCCGATTCCTCTCCGATTCTGTCCCAGCTTCTCAGGTGGTTGTAGGCCGTTCCTTTAAATCAGTGCCCGACTCATGGGGTACCCTGACTTCTGGCTGCTCCCCAAGTCCGCTTCTTTTAAGGTGTCCTCTCGTATATCCAGATGTGGTTTAGTTCAGCCAACACATGAATGGAGAATCAGAACACCTACGGCCCATTCAGCTCGTATCGGCTTCAACGAGATGGCTGGGCAGCACGTTCCACACCCCCACCTCCCTCTGTGTAAAGACCAGCCTCCTGTCCTGACTGAAGGAGCTCATCCAGCTGGGTCTTGAGAGAAACCAGGGTACCGGCTTCAACGAGATGGCTGGTCAGCACGGTGTTTGGCTTAGATCCGTAAACGTTACGCTACTCTTGAAACATCCAGAAACCCACGCTGAGCTGCCAAGTTAACTCCTCTATATACACCGTAAAGACAGGCTGGGCTGCTGCTGAAAGTTTTCCAGTTCTGATGTGTTTGTAGAACAAATAACGTACAGAAAATACAATTACTCGCTTATTCTCGGACACTACGGCGAACTGGACTCCCCATATAAGCTACAAATCTCCATTCCGGGGATTTATGAATGGAACCGTAGTGCTCGTAGAGCAGTAGTTAGTATTGTGACGTTTAGGTGCGCCGGCCAATCCGTGTTGCGTAATCACACCGCGACAGGAGAGTGTGTGTCAGTGAATAGGCTGAGACCGTGTCCCGGATTCGCACAAGGGGACGGTGCCGAGCGAGCAGGGCTGGCGCGGGCGTACACGCCCATGGCTGGCTGTTGACAGCGGGCTGCAATATTGCCGAGAGTGCCGGTGCTTCCACGGTGAATCCGTCCGGGGTCATCAGAAACGAGACGCGGGGCTGAAGAGGGACGAGGCGCTGCGAGAGAGGGAGACGGGTAAGATCGCCCTGTTGGAGACCGGCTCTCCATCGCATCTGTCTGTCCCCATCAGTCGGCGTTTGCTTCTCCGCCAGTGCTACTGTCTGTTACTCCACCCAGCTGTTCCTCCGTCTGTCCGCCTGTCTGTCCCTGTCGCCCTGTCTGGGTCCTGTGTACAGGTACCGCTGGCCAGATGTCTATTCACGGTCGCTGTGTGTGGATGAATGCGTCTCCACCCTCATTCCTCTGGGTGGTGCTGCACTCAGGATCAGGACACTCAGTCTGCCAGGCATCTGTCCAGCAGAGCTCTTGGTGACTCAGCTGCCCATGTTGTTGAATTAATGAGCTCCTTCGGTTTGACCCTTTTGTCCATACCTTCCGCTAAATTCTCCAGACCTCATCTGACTGGCGATGAAGACTTGGAGGCAGCTGCCCGACGGAGGCGTGTGCAGTCTCAGCGAGCGCCCCCTGGTGGCAGTGTAGCACTGTGCCTGAGAGGCCAGGAGGATTGCGTCCTGGGAGATGGACGCCGTGCGGGTCAAGGGGGAGGAGGTGGCAGAGGGCGACAGCACCCTAGTGGTCATCGTCAAACAGGAGGATGAGGAGGAGG